TGCATTGGGCAAATCTGCTGCAAAAGACCTCTTTAAAAACTGCTAAAAACAGAGGTCACTTTGAGGGCTAACTATCACCAGATCCAAGCTATGGTATTTTCAATGGTCTCATATGATTGAGAAAGCTGGACAATGAATAAGGAAGACATAATATTGATGCCTTTGAATTACGTGGAATATTAAATATACCACCAATTTCCAGAAGAATGAACAAACATGGCTTGAAAGAAGAGCTCTAACGTTCCTTAGAACTGAAGATGGTTGAAACTTTGTCTCACGTACTTTCGACATGTTATCAGGAAGGGCCAGTCCCTAGAGAAAGACATTATGCTTGGAAAGGTAGAGGGTCAGTAAAAAAGAGGAATGCCCTCAGTGAGATGGATCGACACATGGCTGCAACACTAGATTCAAACATAGGAATTATTGTGAGGAGGGTACAAGACCAGGCCGCATTTTGTTCTATTGTATGTGGGGTCGCTAGAAGTCAGAAGCTAACCACAAACACAAAGCAATAAGTCCAGGGGAACAAAAGAGTTTCACAGATGTGTCTGCACATTCCTCTGACTTACTCCACCCCTCTGCAATCATCAGGTCCCAACAAGATATGTTTGCTGCTGGAACACTTGGTCATTAACTCCCTATCAGAAAAGGGGAGAATTAGGAGGCCTGAAAAATGCAAGAGACTCAGGCGACATCCCTACTGGCATTCACTGTGCCTGACTCTGTGGAAGTGGCTTTGCAAACAGTCTACCTCACCATAACTTGCACAGCAGATAGTATCATCCCCACTGTGCACATGAGGAAACGGAGACATTCCATGATTCTCCTGAGGCTTACAACTGTGTGCTAGAGAGGGGATTTCACCCAGCTAGATAACATCAAGGACCCACACTCTGGTTACTACGCTGTTGCACACAGTCCCAGCCCCTGACAGTTTCCTTGATCACCTGGAGGAGAGAGCAACCTGGAATAATTGAGAAAGACTGGGCAGGAAAGCACTGCTTGGTTGCAAATTGTCTGCCCAGGTATGACAGAAGACAGTGAGGGTCTTTCTGCTCCACCTCAGCCTGGCCTGGTCTCCACTTTCCAGGGACATCTCCTCACAGAAAACTTGGTACAAATTAGAAAAAGGCACTTTTTTCAAGTGGACACAGCCTCTGGCCCACAGTTTGGCAAGCATCAGGTGGCCTGGGGATAATCACCCCCTCATTGGGTGCTGTTGTATAAGGTTGTGCAAGGGAGGTCTGTGCAACTTTTCTTCATTCCCCCTATTGTTGATTTGACATATGTTCATTTGTATATATACTTTATATTGTTAAAAATTTCCTAAATGAGGTCATAATCATGTCTCCCATGCAAGGAAATCAGTGCTGAAAACAGGGAAGAAAGCATGCTGAAAGGCCCACACCCATTCATCCATTCATCTGGTGGCACCGCCCCACCACACCCAGGGCCACGTGACTCTCTGTCTTCATAAACCAAACTGTCTGAGTTCCTAGGGAGGCAGAGGGAGGAAGCCAGCTCCAGCTTCCCCACATCATTCCTGTGCATAGAAACTTGTATGAGGCTGGTCCAAAAGCCCACTTGGCATTTATTTGTATGTACTTCGTAGGAGGTCACATAGACAAATAACTTCCCCAACTTTTCTTCTTGTGCTGGATTCCTATGGGTGCCCAACTGTCCAAACTAGAAAGTACCCTGGAAAACCCCCAGATCTCTCCCTTGTTCCCACTTTAGAGGACACCAGGGGTCTAGAGTCCCCCTTCTGCACATCTCTCACCCCCTTTTCTTGGTCCTAACGGCTACCATCTTGGCTCAAACCTCAATTAGCCTCTCCTCCAGCCTCACTCCTCCCTAACTGTTTTCTGTGTGACTTTTCCAAAACCCTCCATAGGCTCCTGGCAGTCTTCAGAATCAGGCCCAACCTTGATCAAGCCTGCCTCTATCTGGCCTCTGTACCACCATACCATGCCTCCATGCTTTGCTCACAGGGCTCCTTCTGCCTGGAGAGCCCTTTGCAGAACAACTACCTTAATCCAAACACTTACCCAATCCTGGTCTATCTAACCTGGAAACTAATCTTCACTCCAAGCCTTGAACCACTGACTGGATCCTATTCAGACATGTCTCCAGTTTACCTACCTTTACAGAAATTTCCTGTTATGCATCCATCTCCTGCAGGAGATTGACACCTTGGTTGAAGAGACATTCTCACCCCTTCTGTGTGTCACTGCATCCAGCTGGGACAAGCTTGGGGTATAGTTTGTGGAGTGAAAGCCCAAGTGGTATCTTCATTTGTTTTGTCTCACCCGAGCTCCCTGTTAGCTAGGACCATGTTGCTTCTGAGGTTCCCTCCACTAAGAAAGGCCAGAAAGGTCTCCATGGTGTATGTGGAATTGTCAATGCCCTTACAGGAATGATTCTGGGCCTAATTTCAGAACCATTGCCCATGGCTGCTACAAAGTAATGTGGTCATGATGCTTGTGTATGTATGTGTGTTCTCTTATCAGTATCAATCTATATAGTCTCTCATCCTCAATATATGTATTATACCTATTTGCAAAGTCTAGTATAGTAGATGATGCATTGGGCTGCTAATTGCAAGGTTAGCTGTTCAAATCCACCAGCTGCTCACTGAGAACGATGACCCTTTCTGCTCCTGTGAAGATTTACAGCCTTGGAAACCCTATACACGGTTGCTGTGAGTTGGAACCAACTTGATGGCAACACTGTTAATTAATATATTAAATATTAACCAGTTGCCAGCGAGTCCATGTCAATTTATGGCAAACACCATGTGTGTTAGAGGAGAACTGCAGGGTTTTTTGAAAATATTTTTTTTTTTTGGAAGTTTAACGCCAAGACTTCCTTTTAAGATACTTCAGGGTAGACTTAAACCACTAGCTTTTCAGTTAACAGCTGAGCCACACTGGAGCCATTAACCATTTGAACCACCCAATGATTCCATGGTAAGTATTTGTTGCTGTTGTGTGTTGTCGAGTTGGTTCGACTCATAGCAGGCCTGTATAGGATTCTAAGAGTGGATGGTGGGTTTCAACTGCCGACCTTGCAGTTATCAGTCCAGTGCTTATCCTACAGTTCCATACCAAGGCTCACAGTAAATATTAGTAAGGGTTGTATCCTTTCACTATACTTATTCAGTCTGTATACTGAGCAAATAATCTGAGAAAATGGATTATATGAAGAACGTGGTATCAGGACTGGAGAAAGACTCATTGACAACCTGCGATATATAGATGATGCAACCTTATTTGCTGAAAACAGAGAATTTAAAATACTTATTGATGAAGATCAGTAAGTATTTGGTTAGGGCTGTTCCTTAATATAAAGCAAACAAAAATCCTTACCACTGGACCAATAAATAAGACTGAGATTGTCAAAAACTTCATTTTGCTTAGATCCACCATCAACACTCATGGAAGCAGCAGTCAAGAAATCAAACAACGTATTGCCTTATACAAATTTACTGCACAAGACCTCTTTAAAAAGTGCTCAAGAGCAAAGATGTCAGTTTGAGGACTTGATCCAGCCTTGGTATGTTCAACAGCTTCATATGCATGTGAAAGTTGCACAATGAATAAGGAACACTATAGAAGAATTGATGCATTTGAATTAATGTGTTGGAGAAGACTATTATATTACCATGAACTAACAGAAAAACAAATAAATCCGTTTTGGAAGAAATACAACCAGAATGCTCCTTCCAAGCCAAGATGGCCAGACTTCATCTCTCATACTTCAGAATTATTATAAGGAGAGGCCAGTCCCTGGAGAAGAACATCATGCTTCGTAAAGTGGAGGGACAGTGAAAAAGAGGAAGACCCCTCCCCTCCATGATATGGATTGGTAAAGTGGCAGCAACAATGGGCAGCAGTTGTGAGATTGATGCAGGACTGGGCAGTGTTTCATTCTGTTGGGTCCCTACTTGACAGTTCCTAACAACAACAACAACTAATCCATTCTAATATTTTTTCTCATGACCCCACTTTGGAAACTAGGCCCATGGGAGATGCATGCATCTCTGATGGGACTGGGTTTTAAGAGTATAGGCCTTGGGCCAGTAGAAATCAGACGCCTGACAACTTCTGCACATTTTCCCTTTGGTCTGAGTACATCTAGAGGAAATTTAAGAAGCTGGTGCGCCCAGAACCCAGAGGGGCAGGTTTGCCGTAGACCAATCCTTGGAAATGAACTGAATCCCACTCTGGCTAGCGTTTTCAGTCTTCCTGATGATAAGATTCACCCAGAGTGTCTCAGTTCCTCCCTGGGATTTTCTGATTCCAGGAAGATGGGTGAAACCTGGGAACCTGCTTATTTAAGCAAGCGGGCCAGGTCTTTCTCAGAACCAGTAGTGTTTGAGAAACCCGAGTTCAGGTCATTCCACATCTAGACGTAGTTTGGTGCTGGTGAGTCGGAGTATCCAGAGCCGGGGAGGGAGCAAGTGAAGCCTGTCACAGAGGAGCGCAGCCAGGCCTCATCTCCGGCTCTCAAACATAGTCCAGCACTCTCATTCCTAGATCAGCCCCTCTTACTGCTCCCGCCCCCTTCTTCTGCCCTGTTCTCAGTTGAAGAGAACCAGAGACCCTTTTCTGTCATTGCTGATTTGCCGATGAAAGTTTTACGCTCTGCTTCTTGCAATCAGCAGGCGGATGCTGTTTCCCACACAAGTAACTTAACAGAGCCCCCAGACGCCCTTGCTTTCCCCTGGGGGTGGCCTGCCCGTGACTTTTCTCTGGTTCTGTGACCCTTAACTGAAATCCAGGTCCCCCTCTCCAAGTGCAACGGGACCAGAGTAGGGATGTTTGTGTGTGCCGGACGCTGCGGTGAGCGGCGTGGCTTCAGTCGGCAGGATCAGTGCGCCGGCGCGATGGGGGACGGGGTGTGGCCGTGGAGGGGATTCCCCGCCGAACGCAGGTTACTTCAGCACCTAGATGGGCATTGTCCGCACCTGTGCTCCCGCCCGGCTTGACCCCACTCACCCAGGCCGGCAGGTGCTGGCCCCGCAGCTCGCGGCTGATGAATTGGCGTTCGTTGTCTAGGAATTCAAAGGCTGCAGCCAAGCGCCCTAGTTTCCCGTCGCGGTTCTTCCGCCACCACATCCATAGCAAAGCGCCGATCAACAACCAGGTTATGCTGAGCCCCAGGTAGCCGGCTAGGTAGACCGGCACCAGGTAGAAAAGCACACGCGCCAAGAAAGTGTACAGGTCTGGCAGCAACTGTCTGGACAGGCGCGGCTTGGGGTTGGGCGCCCGCTGGGTTCCCTGAACACCCGTAGTTCCCTGGACACCAGGGGCACAAGGGGCGCCGGGGGCGCCGGGAGCGCCGGGAGCGCCGGGAGCGCAGGGCTCCTCCGCTCGCATCTTGTCGCCGTCTTCTTGCCCTTTTTGAGAGCTTCACCCGAACTCAGGTCCACGCACCCCGACGTCAGTGCACATCTGGCCAATCACAACACCGGGCCGCGGTGCCGCTCTAGTCCTGCCGCGACTCACCGAGGTGTCTCCCCGCTCCGCGCTCGGAGTTCTCGGCAGCTTACTCGACGGCCAGGCCTGGGAATGCACCCAGCCGGACTGGGCCGCCCAGACGCTCTTCTTCAGGCGGGGCCCGTAGTTCCGGATGTCTCCGCCCCCAGAGACTAGCGTAGGTAACAGAGGCGGGTCTAAGCATCGGTCCCAAGCCAGTCAAATTCTGGAGAGGAGCCCGCCGGCGAGGATGCCCTCAGACCCCAGAATCCCGCGGGCGCAGTCGCCAAAGCCAGAGCAAAACCCGATATTGACCAGATGCCTCCCCAGGCAAATTATGACTCACTGAGGGATGTAGGCAGCAGGCTTCTCATGGATAAACATCACCTTAAACCTGTTTCCTACATCCAGTCTACAATGTAGTTTCATTCAGACTCAGCTGGTTATTCAAGGCCCTTCACCGACCCGCCTGACCTGGCCTCTGAACCCTCCAACTGACCCCTGCATACCTGTAATACTGTCCTCTCCTCTATGCTAGCCCAGGTCTGCAGAGATCAGGTCCTCTCCTCTTACCCCTCCCCCTCCCACACACACACCCTCAACCCCGGGCATTCCCCACCTTTTATGTTGGTATCGGCTTGGATTTTCTCTTCCTGCTTCATCAGACTGGAATTTTCAGTGGCCAGGCAGTCTGATCATCTCTGGGGCACCTGGCACAGCAGTGGCAGGTGAATGACAGGAGAAATGAAGTGCAAACCCTGGAGTGTCTGGGGTCAATATTGTTTATACTTAACTCTTTTTGAATATCAGAGCAAGTGAAGTTCTGAATCTCCAAGTTAAGAAAGTAAAAGATCTTGTGGAGGGCATACATTTTAGGTAGCTCTCTTGAGTGGCACATCCATTACTGAGATGTGATTTTTTTTTTTTTTTAAGTTGACAAGCGGAAGGAAAGGAGGGAATCATTTACTTTATTGAGAGGATGGATGGATGAACAGCAAGCTGAAGCTGAAAAACCTATCAATTTAACTTAGCGTTACACTGGCATTTCCCAATGTTGCTGTTGTTATGTTGTTACATTCTGTCATTCAGTTCTGACCTATAGCAACCCTACGTACAACAGAATGAAACATTCTGTGCCCTTCTGTGCCCAGTCCTGTGCCCTTCTCACAATTGTTTCTATAACTGAACCCATTGTTGCAATCTGTGTCAATCCATCGTGTTGAAGGTCTTCCACTTTTTTTGCTGACCTTTCTTCTTGATCAAGCGTGCTGTCCTTTTCCAGGGACTGGTCCCTTCTGATAACATGTTCAAGGTACATGAGACAAAGTCTTGCTTCTAAGGAGCATTCTGGCTGTACTTCTTCCAATACAGATGTGTTCATTTTTCTGGCAGTCCGTGGTATATTTAATGTTCTTTGCCACCACCATAATTCAAAGGCATCAATTCTTCCTCAGTGATCCTTATTCATTGTCCAACTTTTCTTTTCACCCTCCTTAAGGAGACAAGAATAACTTCCTCACCAGTCTGTCTATTTTCACCTAACCCTCCAAATTGCCCTTCCCCTTTTCTACCTCCTAAGAAAAATTTGTTTTTATGACTGCTTTAGTCAGTCCTTCCCTTCTTTCCTTTGCCTGTCTTTGAAGTTAGTCAGACAGCTATCCACTTAATCTGGTACTAGTTCCTATCTTTTCCTCCTTATCAGTTTTCTCCTCACTTTCCTAAAAAAGTCTGTCCTGACACACCTCCCTGATGCCACCTTCTTGGACTCACTGTTTCTAAAAAAGTCTGTCCTGACACACCTCCCTGATGCCACCTTCTTGGACTCACTGTTTCTCAATTCAGTATTTTATGCACAGCTAAGGCCTCCTCAATATATACAACAAAATCCCTGGCTGTGCCTCAGACAGTGTTTATTTCCTCCTCTCTTTGGAGAGCAGGGTTTCTCCTCCCTCAGTATATCCTTCTCTTTCTCAGCTCTACATCCTTCCCTTCACTTGAGATAATAGAACCCTGTTCAACACAGGGAATCTAGGGAACATTGGGATGTGCTTTGACATAGAGACAAGCCAGAAGCAATCTATTGACAGACACTATGAGTGTACAAGAGATGTGGTCAGTACTGACTCAGAGGCCCATGGCCTCATAGTGTTATCTAACTTCTTGTTGTTTTTATTGTGAACTGAGTGATAGTTTATATGGCAGAACATCGGCTTTACACTTCATTTCATTGCAATCTTTACAATCCTCTCCGTGCATCATCATTCAACCGTATTTGCTTCCATTCCCTCTGTTTTTTGTTTTGTGGGGGTATACACAAAAACATTCAGGAATATATAATAATTTAAACAACCAAAAGGCACATTCTACAAGCCTGCCTCCTAGCCGCCAGCACCCAGTGCCTCTCTTTCCATGAGTGCAGTGTCCTCAGCTACTCCCTCTCTCCATGTCCTCATCTCTGCCTCCATCTCTGGTGTCGCTACGTCTCTAGATAGGGTTCTACATTCTGCTCATGCTCATCTCCCTTGATGGTCCTAGGGTCCTCTGTTTCTGGACTGTAAGGTTAACTACTCCCCCATTTTTGTTACAAAACTTCTACCTTTACAGTTGTGACAGTCATAATTAGTCATGATAACAATTACTCTCTATTGAATCATAAGATTCTTATCCTCATCTCTTTTCACTAGACCCGTCTAGACAAGATGAAAACTCTTCAATGGGGACTCTTTCTTCCCCCGCACTCTCTTAAACTAAACTCCCTCTTGAAACCTTGTAAGCCAGTCACTTCCTGCCTTTATCACCCCCTCATTTTAGGTAGCCAGTGACTAAGTTGCTCACTCCTATCTACCCTGTATACAGAGGGGATAGCATTAATACTTGATGTGAAGACTCCTTCCCTCTCAGTTGGTATTTAGAGCTACTAAATCAATAAGAATAGGTCAAGTTCATCAAACTGTAGTAATTTACCCTCTTTTCCTTTATCAAAAATTATTTTCCATATTATCTTCCTCTAGTCAAGTTCTGATTATCATGCCATCAAGGCTAGGTCACATGGGTACTATCTGCAAATTTGGGAATTCTTGTGTGTCTCCCCTCACTTCATATCAGCTGGATGCTTCATTCTCAGCTCTAGCCCTCTGTGGCTATATCCTTGTCCATGGGCTCAGGTGTACCCAGGTCTCACCACACTTCAGATCAACCAGCCCTTCCTCTTCTCTTCCTCATCTCCAGGTCAATGGGAGTCTAATGAACATGGTTGAACTCAGCTCATTTCTTCATTACTGCCTTTCCCATGTTTCACTCACTAGTAGACCAATGTGGTCGTCAGCAAGCTTACATGCCTCCTCATGTGTTCCCTTTGAATTTCAGTCTTGGAGGAGGGTTTGTCCTGAAGGGACTAGATTACTTGCCTTGATGGTTCCCTGGCTAACAACTTGCTTGTTCTTGTAGTAGCCAATCATACTCCATTTTTGTTTTGGAATTTTCATGATCTTTCTTTGAAGATGTATCTTCTGGTGCTCTTACTGCTCCAGGCTGGTTCATTGTTTAACTTTTGTCTGGATATTGCTTGAGTTAGGCTTACCTTCATCCTCAAGTGACATCTTGGCTTTTTAAAAAAATACTCTGAAGAGATCTTTTGCATCAGATTTGCTCAATGCTATATGTCAATTGGTTTTTTTTACTGCTAATCCCATGGGCATTGATTTTGGATCCAAGTAAAATGAAATCCTTGACAACTTCAGTCTTTTCTCTGTTTTCATGATGTTGCTTACTGTCCCAGTTGTACTCTCTCTCTCTTTTTTTTAATGTTGAAGTATAATCCACATTGAAGGTGGTAGTCTTCGATCTTCATCAGTAAGTGCTTCAAGTCTTCTTGGCTTTCAGGAAGCAAGGTTGTCATCTACATATCGCAGCTTGTTAATGAGTCTTCTTCCAATCCTGTTGCCGCATTCTTCATATAGTCCAGTTTCTTAGATTATTTGCTCAGCATACAGATCAAATAAATGTGGTGAAAGGATATAACCCGGACATATTTCTTTCCTGATTATAAACCATTCAGTATCCCTTTGTTCTATTCAAATGACTACCTGTTGACCTGTGCACAGATTCTGAATGCACACAATTAAGTGTTCTGGAATTTTCATTCTTCACCGTGTTATGCATAATTTGTTATGATTCATACCATCGAATGCCTTTGCATAGTCAATGAAACACAGGTAAGCATCTTTTCAGTATTCTCTACTTTCAACCAAGATCCATCTGATATCAGCATCCCACATCCTCTTCTTAATCTGGCTTGAATTTCTCAGTGTGGCCTGGGTCAAATCAATGTAGGAAATGCTGTTCACTTAAGTTCCTTCTTGAAGAGTCACACAACACAACCCTGTCAAAGTCCTACAGATGAAACTAATTTTTTATTTAGCCCCGTGTTTCCCATAATTATGTGACCACAGAACCTCTTTTTTCAGAACACTTTCCTATTGGATAAACCAGGCCAGTTTAGGCCAAAGAAATGGGAATGTGGCATAAGGGTTTAGGACAGCCTCATGAACTGGAGGCAGGAAAGCAGCTAGCTCTAAAGCTGACTAGACCAGACATTTAACTGGTCAGAACTTAGCTCCTCTCCCTGCTCACCTGCTTCCTCTGTTTCTCTGGCTGAAGTGGAGAACACAGCACCCTCCTTCACAATTGATAGGATCATAGGGTATAGGTCTCACCAACCTGGAGAGACTGGCTTGACCTTAGCAAAAACCAGTTGCCATCGAGCTGATTCTGACTCATGGTGACCACACATGTGTCAGAGTAGAACTGTGTTCCATAGGGTTCTCAGTGGATGTTTTTTGGGACGTAGATCCCCAGGCCTCTCTATTCAGGCATCTCTTAGTGTACCACTCAGGAAGTGA